GGTGAATATGAGCTTTGAATATTTAAAATGTTTTTATAAACTGGATAAATTGTGATAATTCTTCATAAATAAAGCCAACTCCAAAAGTTGATGGAATGAACTCCATCCCAAAATAATGACAATAAAACTTTTTAACAATAATTTTCCACAAACATGACAAGTCATTAAAATACTCCAAATAGCAAGATCCCAAGTGCATCGTAAAAATAAGTAATATTGACAGAACATCTCAAATAACTCACACAGGAGATATTCACATTGAACTCGACATTTTTCATCAACATTGGCTTATCGATCAAACATTGACAGTTAACAAAATGAATTGGAACTGAACATCAGGACATAAATACATGCATAGTTGAAATCATTTTACAAATATGCTCTGAACGCAGACACTGTAATGTCATGTAATTTCACCAATAACATCAAAAGAAGATTAAGTAGTGGATAATATGTTCATTGTTATTACAATCATCGAGTTTGTGTTTTGTGTATGAATAATAATTTGTTGGGACTAACATAAATTATGCTGATTAAAAATGAGACCTGTAGTTAACATTTTTGCATGCTGGGAATTTTATTTGACTGTAAAATGTGGCTGGAAAATTTAATAATTTTTAAAATTTCCCTTTCGAACCTCAATTTTTCAGCTTTTGAACCATACAAAAATATACCATAATTCAGCAGGGCTCCCCGATTTTAATAATATACCATTACTACTAGGATGGCACCATTATGCTCTAGAAACCGGAAAAACCTGCTCAAGATTGACACATTTTTGTGTCCTACTGCCATACTAGTATGTGCGTCCAAGATACATCCTAGAAATCAGTTCAAGCTACCTAAGCAATTGCTAGCAACTCCTCTTACTAGTTTGAACGATTAGTTTAAGTTAAATGAATTTCAATCAGTCAGTGCTTTAATTGATATCCACTCAACCAATTAATTTAATCCATTTCAAAATTAAATTCCTTATGACCAATTTATGTGCATCAATAATTATGTGGTCAGAAGCTAATTGGTACATAAGCAGTAATTGAACTTTTGATCAAAATAATTTAATTGATTTTGGAGTAATTTGATCCGACACTTAATATCTTTAATTACTGCATATAGATTTTCAAATTATTACAATTTGTCTCCTTCATGTCACATGGATCGTTCATGTGTGTGTGTGCATGCAATATCACAAATAGATAATCTCTAGCATGTCTGCTTTCCCTCTCAAGTTTAATAACTTCCTTAAATATTTATTAAGTCATCGAAAGAATGAAGCATAAAAGTGTTATGTAATATTCATTGTCATACAATCCATTTGTTTTCTTACTGAATTATTTATGAATCTGACATGGCGTGTGGATGTTAAAAATAGAAAAGGCTGTTTTGTGGAGCTATGATATGGATGTTCAGTTAAAAGCTTTCGATATCTGTTGGTCGTACAGAAGGACAAACATGATAGGATATCAGCACATGTCGAAATCTATCGGTGATTTGTACGCCCGTAGGTTAGATGTTGACTTTAGTATTTTTGGTTTGGACTGATACAACTCTTGTAAGGCTCCGTTTAAGCATGCGGATATCACATGAGTGTGTTTGAATGTTGACTGATTTTAATTACATGTCATATTTTTTTTAAGGATCAGAGCAAAGCTTCTATGACTCATATTGATGCACAGAAGTAAAGCCATGAGTCATGTGGCATTTTTGGTCAGACTTCACTTTCATCTAATTTTATAAGCGTTATCCTAAAAGTAAAATCTAAGGAAAAGAGTAATTTATAGGCGATTGTTTCAGGAAGATAGAAAGGACTCAGTGGTCGAGTGGTAACATTACATTCCTGAAATAAATGACTCTTATTTTTAAAGACATGGGTTTGATTCCCAAAGACACTACAATAATAAACAAAATTTATGGTCACCTTCTATAAAAATTTGTACAATCTTCCTCAAATCTATAACATCCATCAATGAATCTAGACAAACCTTACTAAACCTTCAAAACCTTGAAACTGACTACAACAAAAAATCCTCTCTACTTATTCAATTTGTGTAATTTGCTTCCAATTCAGCTTACTTCACCCTCACTTGTATAGTTTGAAAGTTAAGGAACGAAAGTTTTCGTAGTCATACCTTCAAGTCATGAAAATTTAGTTATTACTTTGGAAACAATTTGTATAAAATATCGTGCCGCAATCACGCATTCATTTTCCTCATTGTTATTTTTTCCATAAAATCTTATTCATCATGCTGATTTTGTAGAAAATATATTTTCCAAATTGTTTATTTTTAATGCAGAAACTACAAGTTTGTGTACTTTATTATGTGAAACCTCGACGTGTGTATGCTTTTCATTTTCTTCCGCGCATATATATGTTCAATTTCATACACATTATAGTGTATCTATTGTCGATAGTTTCTCCCATTCGCTGTATTTTATTTTCTTAGTTCAATTCTAGTTCATTTTATTTATTCGCATGGAAACACAACAATCTATTTAGCGGGAATGATTTTATTGTATTTGAACATACATTCAGCATTACAATAAGACTACTGTGGTGTCCTTTGAGTTGTTTTGTCAGAATTACAGGATCAGGATGAATTGCAGGTAGTTGAATATATTAGACCTAGTCAGTGGTGCATCAACTAAAATGCGATCTGAAAAGGGGTCTCAAAACATGAAGAAGGGGTGCAATCATACATAAGTGATAGATTATTTTAGTAAAAGATGAGAATGTCAAGGTAGGGACCTGTTAATTAACTTGTATTCTGATATTTAATAGCACTTCCTTCACCACTAAGCTAAGTAGATACTAGTCACAAGAGCAGTGTGCTTGAATAGCTTAGGGTTCGATTCCTTAAAAAATACAAGATCCCCAATTAAAGGATTGTATCCCTAGCAGAAATTTACTAGTAATTTCCTAGTAATTTACTGGATAACTTTCCATTTGCTACTTGCTATTTACTAGTCAAAATCCAAGTTCAAATCATCGCCAAAGACCCGCATTTTCACTTGCCAATTGACTAGTCAATTCGCTTACAATTTAACTAGTAATTTACTAGCAAATCTGTAAAAAATTTATATGAATATAACCGTTGATTTCCACGTGTTTTTTGATTTTTTTATTTGTGTAAATTATTGTAAAAGTATTAGTGTGTACTTAGTTTAATTAATTAAAGTACACTAATACTACGAAAAAAAATAAAAGACTTAATTTAATTAAGTCAAACACTGATGAACGCTTATGACTCGCACGCAAACCTGAGGAAGATAAATAATTAAATTGAATGTCTCATACAAATTTGGATCGAGCTTATAAAGGTGATTTCTGTGCGCTCTTGTGAAGTATATGGCAAATGCCAAATTTAGAACAAAATTTTTTATGATGCAAAAATTTCTTTTTTTGATGATTTTTCGTAGGATTCGAACTTAAGAAGATTTGATCAAACATTTCTCATGGAAATATGCTAGTAATTTGCTATTAAATAGTAAGTGTAATTTACTAATAGTAAGTTGTTTTAATAATAACTAGTAAATTGCAAGTAGTAAAATAGAAAGACTAGCAATTTGCTAGTTAGTCTCGCTAGGGTATCTTCCTTTTCTGTGATATCGGATTAGGACTTCTTTGGGTACCCAACATCAAGATAGTAGCCAAAAAATAAATTGGACGGGTTTTCAATAATATCTAGTGTAAACGTTCTGAAAATTTGGGGGTTTGACACCAAATCCTCCACTTGGTTACGCCCCTGCCCTATATCCATACATCAGATTGTAGCATCTCATTTTGGGATTCTAATGTTGTTCAAGTAACAGGCCTCCAGACGTGATAAATGAACAAGCCTCAATAAGTCTCTCAAAAAATTACAGGATATCGTCCTCGATTTAATGACTCAAAATTCAAACTCTACCAAAAATCTTCCCAAAATCTCCATAACGGTTCCTACAAAGTAACAGCAGCCTCAAGAAGAAAACTTGCGGTTTTTTATTTTAATTTCTTATTCTTCAACTTATCCTCGAGGATTTCTACAGATAGACTCTTCCTTATAATTATGTCGAGTGCTTTCTTTCAAAATACTTGAAGCAAAAATGGTATTCCCATTTCTATTCAGCATCTTTCCAATTGTGCTTCAACATCCTTGTGCCAACACAATGCATGGTACTACTTTATTTTAGAAAAACGACTGGAGCTGGGGAAAAAAAGAGAGGATGAAAATAATAGGAAGTAGATAGAAGAAATCCGTTCGTTTCTATTTCTCAAGAGTGTCCTTAATGCGGATATGTACACATGAGGCGCCTGTTGTTATCTTTTAAGATTTTCTTTTTTTTACTAAATTGCTAGAAATGGTTCCATCCTCAATCAATATCGGATTTTTGGGCGATGAATTTGTGCAGAAGTAAGTAGGAGCATTAAGAATGGTTTGTCATTAAAATAGAATTTTCTATCTCAATCTCTTTGGGGAGCAAATAAGCTGCGCTTTTTTTCCTTGTTGATTGATTTGTTTGAGTTTATTCTACAATGAGGTTGATGATGACGGAAAAGGTCGATTGTGATGGCTGACATTTTACAAAGAAAAATGTTGTGGGAATTCCACATAATCACCTGCGTGGAAAGTAGAGCAACAGATAAGATAGAAATGAAGGTACTAACGATACAGAATGACAATTAATTTTCTCGGGTCACTGACTCTCATATGTGGATGTTCGATGTCATTTCATGACTGTTTCGGGGATGATTATTTTTTCACAATAGAATTTTACGTGTCATTGTGGAATCACGACATTTATTGACATACAAATTGATAGGAGTAATGAACTTTTGTAATTGAAAGAATCTTTGGTGATTTTTATACAAGAAAATATTTTTTTTTGCAATTTTCATGCTTAAAATCCAGTCATACTTAACGAAAAATAGCTCTAGTAAGTATTAAATTCAGGTAAAAGCAACAAATCCTTTCAAAAAGTGCAAAAAAGGGGAAATAAAAATTTTTCCAAAGGATTACATACTTCACAAGAGCCAGCAGAAATCACTTATATAAGGCATGTCCTGGAATTCTTACCAAATCACTCTGTCTTCATCACAATTATCGAATTAATCTTTCGCCTTTTACTAAAGATTACCGTGTGATGAAGAAACTCTAATGAGTCTAAGATCAATTTTTTCATAGGTCAGCTTCGGTTGACCAACCTGATTAATATACATAAAAAAAAATTTCTTTTTTAATCATCAAAAGTCTTTATTGTACTGTTGCTTTAAAACCGTGTAATTTACACTGTTCGAGGTTTATAATTTTTAAAACACTTGCTTAAACGCTGTCTAATATTCGCTACATAATAATTCACACAAGGTGCAACATCGACCACTAAAGTAGCTTTAGGTGCAAGACGAAGAATTTTTTCATCAACAGCATTGACTAAATTGCTCTTCAAGTAAATCCTTTGTAGCTTTGCGGTATATCCAAATGAGTCTGAATGAATTGTTGTCAGATTATTTTGATCGAGATGCAGAAACTCCAAATTTGACAATGGAGTAAAGATGGACTCTGGTAAGTCAATAAGGTTGTTGTAGCCTAAACTTAATGTAGTTAAGCTTCGTAAGCCCTTGAAGCAACCGACAGTTAATGTTTCAAGTTTGTTGTTGCCTAGATATAAGCTCATTAGGTTCCTTAGATTCTCAAAAACATTTTCAGGAAGTTCCAAAATTTGGTTCGCAGCAAGGTTCAATTCTACTAAACTTTGCATGCTTTTAAACGAGTTTGGATCCAAAATTTTGATGTCATTGCTTTGTAAGTTTAACTTCCATAATTCACTGTGGTTACCAAATGAATCTGTGCTTATGAATCCTATCTTATTGGAACTAAGGTTCAAATCCACTAAATTTTCTAAATCTTGAAAGATATTTTCTGGCAGGTAAGTGATCTCATTCTCTTGAAGGTACAGACGACTAAGTGCTTTCAAACCTAAAAACCCTTCAGGACTCAACGTTTTAATTCCATTGCCATTGAGGTACAGTGATTTAAGTCCAGTCAGTTCATTAAAGACTTTTGAGTTGATTTCTGATATTTTGTTATTATTGGAAAACAGAATTTCCAAATTTTTAAGGCTCTCAAACCAATTTGGATTCAAATTTTCAATTTTATTATTGTTGATCTTCAAATATTTAAGTTTGCTGCACGATTTGAAGATGTTTGGAGGCAAGTCATTAATTTCATTGTTATTGATGTTCAGTTCTTCAAGTTCATGATTGTTGGCAAATAGATTTTCAGGCAAAGTTGTCAAGTTATTTTGAGCTAAATTTACATGACTCAATCTAAGGTTTCTGTCGAATAGCTTATCAGGAATACTGGATATTTCATTTTCTCCAAGATTGAGGATTTCCAAAATTTTGCATCCGCTTAAAGAGTCTGAATTGATTTTAGTAATAGATGAACTTTGGATATCAATAAATTCTAAATTTTCGAATTTTTGACAAATCGACGAGTCAATTACAGGATTTATGCTGTTTTCACCAGTTGAAGTTATGTATTTAACCTCAAAATCACTCTCATCTTGAAGATGCTTAAAAAGCTCTTCATTTTCACTATCTTCTCCATGTTTTTTGTCGAATAAGACACATCCATAGCCATGATTCCGTAGATAACTCAAGAATTTATCTCCATCAACTAATCGTGTGTCAAATGAGCAGTAAAAGCTTTCTTCTGCATTATTTAATTCCAAAATTAAGAATATAAATTGAACAAAAATCAATTTGAACTTCATTTTTTCACTTTTAAAAATCACAAAATAAATAAAAAGCCACAAAACATTCGTAAGTTCAACCTTTGGTCACGTGAAGCTAATAAATGCGATAATTCTGCTTTTTTTGAACGTCGAAGGCCATCATTATTTGTTTATGAGAGTTAAGAGTACAAAAATGGGAAAAGGATCGTTCACTTAAAACGTAACGCAAAAATCTGTATTTTCATCACCCCCCCCCCCCCATACAAGTGCAGAGCCAGGAAGATGTTTTTGAAAAAAAATCTTAAATTAAGGGTATTTAAAACCACGGGACCCCCTTCCAAAAAATTTCTGCCTTTTACCCTTAATCTCTTTTTGGGACAGACTCTTAAGAAACTGTTTTTCTTTAAAGTTTCACAAAATCAAAGCCACCCCCCCAACTCAAGAAAAGGTTACGTAATAATTGAACGATCCTCAGAATAACTCTCATCGCTTACTTGAAATTGAGATTAAAGATGAGAAACATCGGAACAAACAAGACATTTGAGACAAATGAAGAAATTATAGTCAAGAAAGCATTCATGCTACGGACATTTCAGTGTCAAATTTTTTCGACATGTTTAAATTTCGTCGACCTAGCGTTTGAATATTTTGAAACTGTTAAAAATCTGTCAATTTTAAGATTTTAAGCATTAATATTTAAATTCCTGTATTTTTCTGGTATGATTTAACTAAACTTAGATAAACACGAAGCTGAGAATAAGAATCGTTTGCCCAAGCCTTGTTTTTGCCAGTGTTTGCAAGAAATATTCATGAAAATTTAACGGTTTTTTGAAATTCAAAGCAAAAAATAACGGACTTTTCGACGTGTCCGTAGCATGAAAGCATTTAAAATTATTTTAAGAAAATTGATTCAATTTTGATAAATCCTCAATTTATGCCTTATTTTTGATCAATATTGTGGCTTAAAACATGTTAAAATCTACCCTCAAAGGCTTTGAATCAAAGCTAGGGTGACCATCTGCTTGGTTTTTCAGAGGACAGTCTCTATTTTTATCATTTTTCAAAAATAAAATTGTTTTGTTTTGTTCTAATTCGTCCAGAAAACGAATAAAATTGGTTGACATGTAGGATTTCTATTTTACTTTCAGGTCCTCTATTTTTTCAAAAAATATCTAGTCACCCTAGTCAAAGCTCAACATTTTATCTAATAAATTTATTGTCATCAAAGATTAGAGTCCCAACAATTAGAATCAACATTATCACTCCAATTGATAAACAGCCTCAAGCATCAATGTGAATTATTCAAGAAATCTTTAGCTTATGTAATTCCACTTCCAAAGGGGCATTTTGAACAATTTATTTCCTTTTTGTTTATTGCTGGCTAATGAAATTATCACGTTCAATTTTATTATTCATGATTTATATAAAGTGACAAAAATTGCCACTCCCTGGTTGTTATTTCAATCATCCAAGAACTGTTATATTTTCTACTTCCTCCCTCCACCCCCTACTTTAATGTCATGAATGTAAATATAATGAAAGATTGAATGGAAAAGGAAAAGAAGAAAAAAAATACATGGAGAGGACCGATAAATAAGTTTGGGGTCTGTTGAAGACACACTATAGCGCATTTTTATTGATTTTCAGTCAACGGGAAAACAACATGATTGAAAACATTTTATTTGGACTAAGTGGTCTCCTAAGAGCCTGAAAACTGATTTTTGGTCATCTTTTAAACAATTTTTATCGATTTTCTTTCTTAAAATTCAGTCATACTTAACGGAAAACAGCTCTAGTAAACATTAAGTTCAGGTAAAAACAACAAATCTTTTCAAAAAAGTGCAAAAAAAGAGGAAATTAAATTTTTCCAAAGGATTACATACTTCACAAGAGCCAGCAGAAATCACTTATATAAGGCATGTCCTGGAATTCTTACCAAATCACTCTGTCTTCATCACAATTATCGAATTAATCTTTCGCCTTTTACTAAAGATTACCGTGTGATGAAGAAACTCAAATGAGTCTAAGATCAATTTTTTCATAGGTCAACTTCGGTTGACCAGCCTGATTAATATACATAAAAATAATTCATTGTTTAATCATCGAAAGTCTTTATTGTTCTGTTTCTTTAAAACCGTGTGATTAACACAGCTCTGGAGCCTTACTCTAGGCTTTAAAAGGGAAATCCTAAACTGAACCTTAACATTTGATACCCACTAGAACCTGATCTCTCAATTAATTCACAAAAGACAAACTGCCACATCGTTTACATCATCTTTAGTCTAAAATATCACTCGATAAATTGAATGACAGCAATGACATATAATTTTGATTGATTAGAAATTCAAATATTTGGTATAATAATAAAGTGAGGTTCCCTTTTATTTCTCCCCAGATGTTTGCTTTTTATTGCTACCAGAAACCTCCAGCTCCCTTTTCTTTTGTTTCTTATTCAGTATAGGCCAAAATTGGTCTTCTTCTCTTTCCACTTAACACCATTAGTTCATTGTTTTTTGGAATAATTTTTCGAACCCTTGGGGATGCTTTTGTGTGGTTTTAATAGGGTTGTGCTTGTGAATAATTTTTGATAATTTCTAAAGGGCTAATTAAGCATTTTAAAGAGCATTGAATCTGATTTTAGATTTAAGTTCCAGCTCAAATTACACAAAACTTTCACAAGGAACCAGAATAACAAAAAAAATCAACGAAATGATTGAAACAATGGAAATTACAATAAACAGTCGATGAAGTTGGATGTTCACTTAAATGTGACGAAAATTTCTGAATAAAATAAAATGAGGAATGAGAAGAAAATTGGCCTTTATATTGTCATTAACGCATATCATTAAAATTAATGTCATTGTTGCATGACGTTAAAATTAGAGACTCCAACTCCTTGATTTCTTTTAGGGGCCGTTCACTTATGACGTCCAAGGGGTGGGGGGAGGGGGTCAGCAAGAAAAGAACAATAGAAATTCCTGGAAATCCATTGTTCTTTTTTGAAAAATGACCGTTAATTTCGAACGTCATAAGTGAACGTCCCCTTAAGGAAAATTGAGATATTGTAGCTTTAATGATAGTTCTGGTTAACATGGGAGGGTCTGTGATAGATGTGGAAGGGGTGTTAAGTGTTTAAAATGTCATCAACGAATGGTTTTTGGAGGAAGATACAGTCACAAGCCAGTGTGCCGCGACACATAGTTTGCGAACCACTGGTTTAAAAACTTGAAATTTCAACTTTTCTTTATCCAACATCGCAAGAGAATCCCCCACAAAATAGGTTTTTTATAAGTGTTTAATTAAATTAATTAAAATAAATGTTATTTACCTTTAATAAATTCCAATAAAAGCCGAAAAGCTTATACCTAGAATAAGTATTCCAATATGAATATAAAAATGCTTCCTTTAGTGGGCAAATATTTTATGTTAATTTATCGGAATACTTAAGCACAACATTAATTACAAATGAAATGAATGGAAATTAAATTAAGGAAGCAATTTTGTAAGTTTTAATTATAAATTATGAGATTAAAGGAAGGAGTTTTCGATTGTGGTAAAGTCTAAAGGAAGATATTCGATGGTTTCTGTGGAAATTTAATTAATGAAAATCATCTTGAAAAATTTTTCTTAATTAAGAAATTTAAATGAGAATTTTTATTGGAAATTTTGTAATTTAATATCAAAAGTAGTTAAATATTATGGGACGTTCATAAATGACGTCAAGGCGCATAGTCAAGAGAGGATTTGCGGACAGAAATTTTTTCTCCTCATTTGTCTAGGGTAAAAATTCTTAAAATAAACACCCAACTCTGCCTTCAAATCCTGGCACGTACTTAAAGATTTCCAAAAAATCTATATTTTAGACCTATTTGATACTTCCCAGCCATGTGACGTCATTAATGAACAACTCCCTATCAGATATTTAATTATTTCAAAACTCAATACAAGTAAATGAATCGAATCACGTTTACAAAATTGCACGTGTAACAATATTTATTTAAATTCAGCACAGTCACTTAAAAACCCTCCGGCAAATGAAATTAATCATCATTTTTGACTATTTATAATAAGTTCTAGGAAATCTTTTATCATCAATCATTAAATACGCATCTAACCCTTTTTGTACAGCCATTAACCTACTTCCATGAATTACTTGCAAATTTCCAAAAATTCTTAATGTTCAAATCAAATTATCATTACATCAACTGCGACATAAAATATTAAAAAATAATTAAATCTTCATAAATTCTATTTTCAAAAAGTATGAATAGAAAAATTCCTAAATTAGAAGAAGTAACAGCTGTTCTAAGCCGTTCCAACGCACTCAATTTTAAATGATACATTCATTAAAATCGTTATCGTCGCCGGTGCTAAAAATGAAATGATGAATTGCGTAATTTTTTTTTCAACGTCGAACAATTAAACCCACGCTTTTCATTTCTGTGCATGCCTTAAAGTTTCTTTTTCTAAACCAGAGTTGGCGAATTTGAAGCTAGGCTGTAATGTAGTACCAACTTATGGTAAGTTGTGCCTTAGTTCTACAGCTAGAAAGTCCTTGCAACCTTGATGACGCATAGGTCTTGGTTTAATCCTATGGCTAGCACTTACTCTAATCCAGTGATGGCTAACCCGTGTGTCGTGGCACACTAGTGTGCCATGAAAAAATTTGTGATATCCTAAAAGCCATATGCAGTGTGCGGTATAGATCAAGGCTTACCAAAAAGTGTGCCGTGTCACAAAAAAAGGTTGTACACCACTGCTCTAGTCTAAGTTTCATTTAAGCAAAAAAAATTTGATTGTTGTTTCCAATGTCCTCAACCTAGCTGCAGCTCAATCCAAAAAATCAACTCTGGCAATTCCCACTTCTTTTTAATAATTTCCAACGTCAGCTTTTGTGGAAATTCGTGCACGAACCAACATTTTCATACAAAACAATTTCTCGCATCATCAATCAATAATTTCACGCACCAGCACCAGTAAAGGAAATATTATTTTTTTTTAATTTCTTGTTATTACTCGAAATAGATGAGATGAAAAAATGTGTCGAGATTTATTTCCACTTGCTGACACTGACTTCAAAAGTTTTTTTTTTCTTCTTCTTGCGT